GTTATAATAACATGAGAAAATATAAAATATAGTGTGGCCAAGGATTCCTCCCTAGGTCCAGCCGCAAACATCCATTTTAGAGATAACAATTCTAGCCGGCACCGGGATAACGATCCTAGCCCGGCGCCCATCAACCTATAAGAATAAGCAGGACACGGGCCATCAGGCTGGACAAAGAAAAAAAGCCCAGCCGAGATATTCTTCGGCTCCAGCACCGGAGCCAACCACTCTGTCCTGATGGCCCAAACCAGGATGAAATCAAGGAACACCCAAGACCTTTTTACATATGAGGAGACTCTGCCCCACTGTCTATTGATTCAGTTCGCCGGTTCCAGGAAATCCATTCAACCAACTATCAAGACACTTTGTTGAACAGTGACTGCTCGGAGTTTTGGCCTCAGGGCACAAAACCCCTATAAGAACCCCGGACTGCAGCTCATACAGCGTGGATTTGGGAACACCTATACCTTTGGGTATAGACCCCTGTCCACCCAGTGCTGCGCTGATCTATTTATTGTGGTTTTTCTCTTTCGTTGCAGGTGCTTAAATTGTTTTGTAATAAATTGCTTTTTATTGACCTGAGTTTGCCATTGCATTTATAACAGGAGCTTTCACTCCAAGAGAGTGGTGGATTCTTTGTTAATCAGCCCATGGACCTACACAGCCTCTCGTCTCAATTCTGCTCCATTCTGCTGCTCAGAGAGCAGGGAACAAGGAACAGAGTCAGCTGCACAGTCAGCTGCACACACAGCAGCAAAGGGATTTATTTTCAGGTTTCCAGAAAACATTGTGATTCTGGTGTCCTTTCTCATTTAAGGCTGCCTTCACTGGGGAGAACACTGGAAAAGAAAGCTGAGCAAGGAGTGTGTACATTGGCAGTAGTTCATCAGGGACAAGCTGCCTGCACCCTTAGGAGCAGGGTTCCTGTGGGAGCTTGGTATTGTTATAAATGCAACGGCAAAATATGATTAATATAGACAGCGATTTATTATAAATCGATTTCAATCACAAACGGGAGAAAAAAAACCCACAATAAAATAGATCAGCGCAGCGCTGGGTGGACAGGGGTCTATACCCAGAGGTACAGATTTACCCAAATCCACACGGAGGGTTGACTGTCCAGGGTTTTTATAGGGATTTTGTGTCCTGGGGCTAAACTCCGAGCAGTCACTGTTCCACAAAGAGCCTAGATGGTTTGGTTGAATGGATTTCATGGAACCGTCAAACTGAATCAATAGACGACTGGGCAGAGTCTTTTCGTATGTGAAAAGTTCTGATTGCCGCTCGATGGTATCTTTGGTTGAGCTCTCAGGGAGAAGTGTCCAGGTCCGGCGTGGAGTTGATGGGCATCTCAGCTGGGCTCCTCTCATTGTTTACTTAGATTGCTTTTTCGGTCGTCGCTCATAGGGTGGGGTATCCAGATTCGCTGTGGAGCCGGTGGGCATCTCGGCTGGGCTCCTCTCATTGTTTAGCCTGGCTAAAGCCCTAAGCATCGCTTAGGGTCGTAATCGCATGAATAGGTAGTTACTGCTGGGTCTGGGGAGGAATCTTTAGGCCACACTATATTTTTATGTGGTCTACATTGTTATAAATACAGTTATATACTTATTTCTTCTTTCACGAGTTTTTTTCCAAAGTTACATTTATCACAGTGTGCTGCTCTGGGAGGAGGAAACAAAGCAGGGAGCAGTACAGAGCGAGTTGCTTTTGCCCTGCTGAAGTCAATGCAGATATGAAAAGAAGGATGGAGCAGCACAAAGGTGCTGTGGTCATGCTCTGGCAGGAACAATGCAGGTAACAGGAACTAAGCCAAAGGAATGACCCAAACCATGACACAGCTTTGTGTCAATAACCCCCATATAAACTCATGACTAAAACTCCACATAAACAGGTATTGGAGATGCAAAAACGCTCGCTCGTGGTGAGAGACTTCTCCAGGGTCAAGCTGTTCAAGTATAAGCGATTTATTACAAGGGTACAAGGAGGGGAGACCCGTGTCCGCTACCAGCCTTGGCATCCACGTGGTCCGGGGGAGGGGAGAGAGAGCAGGTAGAGCAGGGGAGGTGAGGTTGGATGGGGGAGGGAGGGAGTAAGAGAGAAACAGAGGGAAAGAGCAGGGAAGGCGAGAGGGGTAGGAGCAGGGAGAGGGGGCTGAGAGTTAAGCGGGGGGAGAGGGGAGAGGGGTAAAGGGAGGAGGGAAGAGAGAAGAGGCAAGAGGTAAGAGGTAAGAGTAAAGAGTAAAGAGTAAAGAGAGCGAAGTTCTTGTTACAATCCAATATATCTTTTTCTATCGTGAATATTCTAATTACCAGAAACCAATCACCATGAGACACACCCACTAAAGAATTTACATACAGCCTATGAGCTTCCCTATATTAACATACAGTGTTGCATTTTATACTCTACAGAGCTTTACAAGTTCTTTCCTTGCTTCTTTACTTTTGGACTCTTCTTATCAGCAGAAGGACATTGTTTTATCAACAGGGATTCTCCTCTAGCTGGCTAGGCTATTGTTCTTTGGTTAACCAGTACTCAGTATCCTATAACTCAAAGCAGGCTTTCATTTCTACTTTGATTCTAGCCTTCATATTTTCACAATCTAGTGCCAAACAATCACATTCATAAGGTTTCCCTGTTTCACCTTCCCCAACAAACAGGAAATCATGTCAGCCATAATTTCACCTTCTCCCGTCACTCACTGAAAATCATATAAATACAGCTTCCATTTGGGAAGAGAGGTCAGAGAAGACTCCCTCTATATCCTGGCACTGTCAGAGGGCTCTACCTATCTCCTTCCCGCAGGGACACTACTGGGTAAGACTCCAGTGCTCAGCTGTACCAGGTGCTTGCTCAGGAAATTCAGAAAACCAGCCTGTTTGTGATCATACTCTTAGTACGACATTAGCATCTCTTAACTGAACCTGTTTGTGGCTGGCTGTATTGTTCATATTTCATGTGTTCACGCACGCTTCTGCACACAGGGTAATCACCACTACCACAGAACCACAGAGTGGGCTGGGTTGGAACTCCAAATTCCAGTGCCACACCAGCTCTGTATGTCTGCTGCTGAATTTACCACAGCTCAGAATCTAAGCCCAGCTGTCCCAGTCCCTCTGATATCTGAGGAGCAGCTGGAATGCCAAAGGGGTGATTTTCTGCCAAATTTAATGCAATAGATATAGTGGGTTTACTCTTAATGCGATACTTTCATTATAAGTTTTAACTGGGAGTTTACAAAATAGTCCCTACAGTTTACTTTGGGGATCATAGTGCTATCATTAACCAGCATTTATATCACTGAATCGGGATTTGATTTGAAACTATTTTCATGTGGCATTAGATACCTGAGAGTTTATCAGTTTTATCACAGAAGATTAGGCTACGAAATCATTATCCGAAATGAGCAAGCAAGTCACCATTTAGTAAAATTAAAGTATATTACACGGGTACAATGTTTCAATTGCACATTCTCACTACTTTTACAGGTTATACTGATGTTTTGTAGGAAAGCAAAATTAAGTTGCGAAACATCAGACAATTTTACATCACAGGTAAGTTCATTTAAGATTAATCAACATCCAGAAAGATAATACAAAGATGCATCATACATGAACACATTCCATTTTTTACAGATACATGTGTGCAAAACCAAATAAGTACAAGAGTGCATTTCCTTGCAGTATTTTTTCAAACATAGGGCTGGGCACTGAACAGGGACCCACAGCACAATTTACCTTCTCTAAGAGGCAGTAGAAAAGTTTCTACTGAAATACTTGTGCAGACCTCAGAAGGGATGCTCAGAGGATATTCCACAGCAAGGTATGTGAGAGTGAAATAACAGAGTATTGTTTTACAGCTTTTACTGGGCAGACTGAGGAAATTAAAAAAACCAACACCTTCACATAAAGTAAAACGTCCACTTTTATTTTTTTTCCCCCAGAGGCCACTAAAAACATTCTACACATTACACGATTAGCCAACTCCACTAACACAACTTCCCAGGTACCAGGAGGGGCTCTTCATTCCCCATCTTAAAAACGAGATTCACTTAATAAATTATAAAAAGAATTTAATATAAACAAAAGACAATTAGGAGACAAAAGAAATAAAGCAAAGGGTTAAAACGTCTGGGTGCCCTGGTGGGTTACCAGGAACACACCTGGTATCTCAGGAGTGTCCTTTTTATCCCATCTTTGCTGTGAGAGGTTAATGCATATTCAAGCATGTCCCCTCCCTGGTTCCACCTTCTTGGATCATGTTATTTTCTGCTGGTCAGCATAATTTTTGCTGGTTATCGTTATTCTAGCTGGTCAGCATTATTTTGGAGTTTGGTTTCCTTTCTGCTGCAGATGGTCACTTGTTGATAACAGCCTTCCCCTGAGGGCAGCTGGGCTTCATATCTTCCGCTGATAACAGTTTGGGCTCTATTGTTCTCCTGATAACAGCTTGGGCCCCAGTGTCCTTGCCCTCTGGGGTTTCCTTGCCTTGTACCTAGGAAATTCTTTTAAACTTAAGACTTGTTAGCATAGCTAAAAAGTATTTAATATATAATATTCATCTGCGAAAGCCAATATCACAATACAAATTTATAACACCCACACGTTATTTACTCAGTTCCCAAAGCTCCCGTCTCACAGGTCAGTTTCTGACTGAAGAACTGCAAGGCAGGAAAGAAACGTGAGTAAGAACAGGCAACAGAAACGGGGACGGAGAATATTTAAAGGAAGTTTTACACTAGACAAAGCAAAGGCATCGCCGAAACCCCCGCATCTGGAAGTCGGCCGGGCAGGAAGCCAAATCTCCCCATTTCCCCCGCACCAGGAGGCCCTCCACGACTCCGGGGGCCTCCGGGAAATCCAGCCCCTCTCAACGCTTCTCCTGACCCCGTCCCGGGAAAGCTGCCCATCCCCTGCCGCCGCTGTGCCGCCGCCGCTCCCGGCGCACCGGCAGCGCGGCGGACAGCCCCGGGAGGTGGTCCAGGGGCCTGCGAGGACCGGGATCGGACCGCCGTGAGGACTGAGGGGAGCACCGCCCCTTCCTGCTGCAGTTATGGCCCTGCGGGGGGCGCTGCGCCGGGTGACTGCGGCTTGTGGGGGGCGGTGAGTGCGGGCCGGGGCCCTGGACCGGCGCCGGACCGGGACAGGGATCGGAACTGGGAATGGGACTGGGACAGATATAAGGATCGGGATCGGAATACGGATAGAGACAGAAATAGGGATCAGAACCGGGACAAGTACACAGTCTGGAACAGGGACTGGATCGGGACTGGGATTGCCACGGGGATAAGGATCGGTATCGGGACTGGGATCGGTATCGGGACAGAAACCGGGACCGGGACTGGGATTAGAGTGGGGACAGGGACTGGGACCAGGATCGGGACAGGACCGGGACAAGGAGAGGGTCCAGAACAGGGATCGGGACCGGGACCACGACTGGGATTAGGGTCGGGACCGGGACGGAGAAAAGGACAGAGATCGGGATCGGGAGAGCGACAGGGTTCGGGATCAGGATAAGGATCGGGAGAGGGGCGGGATGCCGGGGCCTCCGGCAGGGCAGGGAGCGCGGTGGCTGCTGCCGCAGCCGGGCGGTGTCGCGGGAGTCGTGTGTGTGTGTGCGAGTGTGTGTGCTGTGTGTGTGTGTGTGTGTGCGAGTGTGTGTGTGTGAGTGTGTGTGTGTGTGTGCGAGTGTGTGTGTGTGTGAGTGTGTGTGTGAGTGAGTGTGTGTGTGTGTGCGAGTGTGTGTGTGCGAGTGTGTGTGTGTGTGTGTGAGTGTGTGTGTGTGTGTGTGCGCGCGAGTGTGTGTGTGTGTGCGAGTGTGTGTGCGAGTGTGTGAGTGTGTGTGTGTGTGTGTCAGGGAGCGTTTCCCGTGTAATCGCACCGCCGGGCTGTTCGGCAGCGGCACCCATCACGCTGCGCCCCTTCCCTGGGGGCACCCAAGAAGCTGGGTGGCTGCAGGTGTTGCAGCTCAAGTGAACTTGCATGGTGAATTCACTTAAATACCGAAACAAAACAGGGCAATGTGGCTTTCAAAGAAAAGCTCGAATATCTGACTGTCATTTCTTTTTAGTTCTAGAATGGGGAACAGCCAGACCGCTTTTGTAGGACTGTCCAATGATGCTGCTGTGAATCAAATACAGGTAGCATTATTTATATTGCTTTTACTGATTTTCGGCATTTTTAAAAGCCAGTTACTTCAAACCTTTTCTTATTTATACAAAGAAATACTGTAAATAGTTCTGCCTGTTGAATCTGTTCCTATGTTTATTATGGTTATCAAGTCATGCTGGCAGTTTTGTTTATCCACAGCCCTGGAGCCTGATCTAGGCTGCATTCATTTTATGGTTTATTTTTTAGACCTCTACTCAAATTCAGTGCTGCTATCGACATTGGGGATACAACCTTGTAAAATTACTAATATCAAATAAAGTATTTTAAGAGGTTAGGTTTTTTTTTATAAACTTACCGATAACAAATGATAGCCTGAAATTCCCTTGAATTTACAATAAAGTGATAAGGCTGTATCTTCCACTCGCTTGCTTTTGATCGCTGTGCTTGTACACTCCAAGTGCCTTAAAAGACAGGGAAAACTGCCCTAAACAATTCAGGGAGATGCACGGAGTTGGGCAGACTGCAAAGCAGAGTTGTACCACATACTCCACCATCCTTGTGCTCAGTTTGGAGCGAGGTTCAAGTCAAACCTGCCTTCAAAGGTGCCAGCAGAGATTTTTCTGTGTTTGCTGCTCTAACAGCAGGTTTCTAACTTGTGTATTACTTTCATGGCTGTCTTGGTTTGAAAAAACAGGTGTCTGCTAAGGAAAGCAGGAACCTCCCTTGAAATGGAAAAATGCAAATCCCTCC